ATAACTAAGAAAAAGACATGAGGGCTATCTTAACCAGTTGGATGAAAGTATTTCAAATTGTATACAGAAACAGTACACTGTACCCCATGATAGTATTAATATACACTGCTATGATTTAATTAAAAAAATAAATAAATCTACAGTCATACTAAGAAGAATGGATGGATGAGTATAACCATAGTAGGAGATGTAATATGAATGTTTCTCTGAAGTGAGTAGATGAAGTAATCCAAATAATGACATGGAAGATTTGATAACACAGTGAACAAGCATAAACAGATAGAGATAATCTGCTAATATTTGCTGAACAATTAATGACTACTAGGCAGTGTTAACAGCATTTGCCTTCTAATGAAAAGCATATAACTCAAGTCTCACAGCTACATAATGAGGTAGCTGCTTGAACTCAGCAGGCTGGCTTGTGAGTGTTCTGTGTTCTTGTTGTGTTGCACTAGAATTTGGGGAGATGGATTTGTGACTGACAGTCTCAGACTGCATTTGGCATCAGAACCAGGGGAAAGGGAAGCAGTCACAACCATGGATGACTGGGGTTGTCAAATCACCTGGTACTGACTCTGTCACTCTTTGCCCTTGATAAGAAATTTGGGTCAGGTGCAGTAGCTCACACTTGTAATCCTAGCACTCTGGGAGGCCAAGGCAGGTGGATTGCCTGAGCTCACAGGTTTGAGACCAGCCTGAGCCAGAGCAAGACCTAGTCTCTTAAAAAAAAATAGTCGGGTGTTGTGGCGGGTGCCTGTAGTCCCAGCTACTGGGGAGGGTGAGGGAAGAGAATTGCTTGAGTCCAGGAGTTTGAGGTAGCCATGAGCTATGACGCCATGGCATTCTACCAAGAGCAACAAAGTGAGATTGTCTCAAAAAAAATTTTTTTTGCTGCTCCTTGTTGGGTCTGCATTTGACTTTGAGAACTAGAGTACCCATGTTGGTAAACATTCTCTTAATCAGGAACCATTGCTTGTTTGGGTGCAGTCTTGCAAGAGGCTGCTGTTAGTCTAGCAGAGTAGCCAGGTCAGCAGTGGAGCCAGCCACATCCTGTTTTCTCAGGTTCAGCCAGACCTTGACTGGCTGACAATGTCAGCAGGAGCTTCATTTCAGAGCTGCCTGCCAGGAACATCCCATCATGTGCTGCTGCCATACCCTGCAACACATGGCCAATGTACCTCTTTCAACTTACATGTCATTTATAATCTGGAACCTCATTTAATACTGAACATGTAGTCACTTAACATCGAGCAGTCTGAAAGCCTGAAATATTGCTGTGCCGATCAACCAATATTCTTTCTTCTTTAACACAAACTATATTACTTTAACCAAACAGTAAAATAGTCTGTTATGTGTGAGATCACAGAGAAAATCATGGCACATCCCCAGAAACTTACTTGGACCACATTGTGCAGTGCAACAAACTAGAAACCAGCAACAACCAAGATAAAGTATACTTCTAAATAACATTTGAGTAAAGGTAATTAGAGCTGAAATTAGAAATAATTTAGAGGGAAGTAGCAAGGTGACTGCTACATACCAGATTTCTCTGCAACAGTACTTAGGAGGAAATGTATGATTTTAGGTGCACTTATTAGAAATAAGAGTGGACGCAAAGGCTGGGTGTGGTGGCTCACGCCTATAATCCTAGCACTCTGGGAGGCCAAGGCAGGTGGATTGCCTGAGCTCACGAGTTTGAGACCAGCCTGAGCAAAAGCCAGACCCCGTCTCTACTAAGAAATAGAAAAACTGAGGCAAGAGGATCTCTTGAGCCCAAGTTGGAGGTTGCTGTGAGCTCTGACACCACGACACTCTACCTGGGTTGACAGCTTGAGACTGTCTCAAAAAAGACAAAAAGAGTGGAGGCAAAAAGCGTTCAACTCATTAGGCTAGAAAGAAAATGATGACAAAGTTTCAAAGACACAAGAAGGGAAAGTATTAACAGATAAAAGAAGAGGCTAATGAAAGGGAAAACAAAGTGTATATGTATTTTTTTTTTTTT